TTTTCTTGTTAATCTTCATTATTTACCTATCATACTATTCGTTTCCTTGCCGGCGGTGTTCGTTCTCACGTGAGTATTAAATTATTATTTAAAAAAAAAAAAAAAAAAAAAAAAAAAAACCCAGAATTATAATAAAAATGAAATAATTTTTCAAAAGAAAACAAATGAACGATCAATGTTCAATTAATTCAATTAATAACAATGTAAATATAATAAATAATTAATCCTTATGCAATCTGTTAAAAAAAGAAATAAATGATAAAAGATTTATTAAACGTTTTATAATTTATTTAATTTCTAATTTAAATATCAATGGAGATTAATTTGTTCATTGAATATAATAAGTACTGATAAGATATTTAATATTCAGATATGTCATAGCTGTATTATCTGATCACGTGGAAGCAGGATTTCCTTATATTTCCGACGTTGCTACCTCAGCACCAGAAAGTTGCATATTTGCTCAATTTATGAACATGATAGCTGCACTCAGTGAGTATTACATATAAAACTAGAGTTTGAAAGTATGTAGGAAAAAGAAAAAAAAAAAAAAAAAAAAAGGAAAAGAACATGTTATATCATGCTTATTATCAAACGGATATGTAATTTGTTCTGCTTTACTTCCACAGTGTGCCTCGTCATCTATATAAGATATTCTCAAGTGAAGGAATGTACAAGTGCATTTCGTCTTCAGGCATCTCTACCAAGATGGAATTATTGGGCCTTAATTCTTGGCCTAACAACTACTCTAGGTGTTTCGATAGTTGCAAATTTTCAAGAGACATCGGTCATCGTTGTTCACATGATAGGTGCATTTTTATGTTTTGGCGGTGGCACCGCATATTTTTGGACACAGGTAAATATCAATGAATCAAACGTTATAACAATTTTAATAACAAATTATTTCTCATTAATTTTACATTTAAATAATTATTAATTATTATTTAAATAATTTAAATTATTATGAATATTTCTATGACATACAATTGTTCATTATTATATTTATGTATTTAAATGTATATATATATATATATATATATATATTATTAACGAAATTATTATGAAAGCAATTCCCAATATTATTAATTATTTTTAATAAGATATATATTTAAATGTATAAATTTATTATCATATGATATAATTATTGATATTATTGATAATAAATTCTTACGATAGATTAACGTTTCATTCATTAGGCTGTTTGTTCGTTCTACTTGCATCCGCTCGGATGTTCTTTAAGAATGGCCCATCTTCGAACGGCACTATCAACATTTTGCACATTCTGCTTCTTCGTTATATTCATAACCGGAGTCCTAGCTAGTCTGGCATATAAAGGTCAGCTTGAAACATTTATCAAATCTGTTGATTCGAATGTAGAAATAATAAGATTTCGTTCGTCCAATAAAATTTACATTATTAATTAATCTAATTGATAATTAACAATCTTGCCATAGGTACGAATCCTCAAAAATGGTATAAAGGTGACGGTGGTTGGGAACTTCACGTTGCTAGTACTGTCACCGAATGGATCTGTGCAATTGCATTTTGTATTTATATCCTAACGTTCACCGATGAATTTAAAGACATTAGGATGAGTCATCCAAAGGTGATATATTTATCATAAATATCAAAGAATTAAAATGAAATGTATAAATTTATCATAGTCAAGTGAGTTATCTCAACATTATTATTTATATAACATTATTATGTTGAATCTCACTTGGCTAAATTTTTCCATAAGATATTCTTTGAAAGAAAATCTCTAAAGGCTGATAAAGTTAAAATTTCGTTCCAGATTATATGCAATTTCAACCGTTCAAGATCAAGTAACGAGGTTCTGAACGAAAGTCAGGCTTCACCGTTATATCAAGAACAAGATAGTCCAACAGTCACCTGATCCCTTAACGGCAGAGGTACCGGTGTCTATGTGAATTTGCTTTCTCATTCGCCAGTAGATACACCTTGTCCTGGATATAGATATCGAGAATACAGGGACGCTCTATTGGATGATGTCGCCCCATTAATAGCAACGACACCGCCTAACGAGAGAAGACCCGATGACCTCTGCCCGGTACAAATACACGTTCACGATTCATCAATAAGAGAACGACGTCGTCAAGGATTGGAGAAAAAAAAGGAATGTGAAGAAAAAACAAACGTTTCTCAAGAAGACGATACTCGTCGTTGGATCGACTTGGATGAGAATGTCCTTGATGGTTATATCCTAATCGATGATGGTTGTGTCGAATCGGCGGTGATTCATGAAGAAAAAAATTTTCCCGATTTCGATGACGTTGACTTTGGCGATGACGCCGACAGTCATGGTAATTATGAATCAAGTATGTTCGCTGAAGGACCATGGATTGGACGAGCTGTCCCTGATCTCGATGTTGGTACTACTTATCCACTTGCCAATAGTCATGGCAATGCTTATCGAGAGTCTAGCAGTCATAATGAATATTCAAGATTGTTTTCTGAAATTTCTGCTAAAAAAGAAGCTGAGGATCGTCGTCGTCGTCAAGAAGATGATAATTATGCTATAGCAAATAGTCACGGCGATCATAATCCATTTGATATTAGAGGACATAGCTGTAGCGGGAGATTAGAAACGGAACGTCTTTTATTATGGAATGCTAAAACTGACGTTAATTATGAAATAGCAAATAGTCATAGTAACTATCGAGTATTTTACGATAGCCAGACGCAACATCAAGGTATTCATCCACACGAATGGCCTATTGAATCTTGGAAAGATAAATTAGAAAAAAATCAAGGTACCAGGGACGAGGGAGAAGATAAAAGTGATAAATCGAAAGATTCAAGAAAATCTTCGGTATCGAAGAAATTAGAAAACGAGTCTGAGGATGCTACGTGCGACATCGAACAATGTTTGGTACAGATCGAGGAGAGTCTCTTGAACATCGAACAAAATTTACTTCACGTTCAGGACTTAGACTTACCGGAATTAAGAAATCTTCTTTATAAAAGTCCAAGTATCGAGAGAAGCCTTTACGAAATGCAAGACCTTCTTTATACCGATAGTATCGTACCGGTTATAAAAAGAAACAAATCTTTGTCGTTAGAATCCGACGAGGATGAGGACGAGGATGAGGAAGAGGATGAAGAAGATGAAGAGGAGGAAGCTTGGATGGAAGAAAAATTAACAGTAAAGGACGACGATGATGAAGATGGTGACGCAAATCCATGTCCTTTCGGTGGTTCCAACGAAGAATCCTCGGACACCGCTAATCAAGATGAAAATAATCAATCGAAATCGATCGACGATCAAACAAATAACGATTGGGTGAATGAAAACGCTGATCTTAAAAATGAAACATTAGAAACGAATTTAACAAATGATTCGGCCAAAGCCGTGAATTTTGTTTTAAACAGTTTAGGAAAGACACCATCTAGACGTACAGTTCTCGATGAAAATAAAGAAAACATTAGGCTCTGTTGGTCAGAACCCGAAGATCCTACCGTTGATTACAATTTAAATAATTCCTATTTGGAAAAGAAAATACATTGTCAGGATAAATGTCATACGAGGACAAATTCTCTTGATGAAAATCCATCGTTCAAGGAGACAGAATTGAGAGACAATTATATCAAGAAATCATTAGAAAATATTTTCTTCGAACACAAAAGCAATCGATTGTTAAAAGCTAAGGACAAAGCCAAATCAGATGGTACTTTACAGACACGTCGTGATAGATCAACTTCATCCGGTCGAGGTGAACAAAGTAAAAAGAATAAAGAAAGAAGAAAAAGAAGATTTTCGAACGAAAATCGTTTGATCGGATTTGACGATAAAACCGAAGATTTTCGTAAAAAAATCGAAAGTATGGTCTCCCATCGTAGATCGACTATATCGATACCGGATTATAACAAAAAATCAACTAAAACCTCGACGGAATCGATTGATATAGAGAGGTCACGTTCTCGTGATAGATCACCGATCAAATCGAAAAGGATATCATTGTCGATGGAAAGAATTCATGAAAAGGATTCGACTGGTGGAAAGGGTTGTGAGAAAAAAAAGAGAAAAAAGGCTTCTGGAAGAACGCAAAATCAATCGGAAAATGCATTGGTACCTAGCAAATTGATATCGTTGTCCTTGTCTCTTCTATTGGCAGCACTTTTACAAGCAGTCAGATGTCTCACCGATCTCGTTGAGGATGCCTTTAGATCTGTCAGTTATGATAGAAGTGGCCTGTTGCAATGAGGACTCGTCGATGTACCAAAACTATTCGAAAAATCTCACAACGGTGACATCTATAACGTTGTCCCACCGCTGTCTTCTGATTCCATTATTAAAAAAAAAAAAAAAAGAAAAAAAAAGAGAGAGAGATAGAAGAAAAAAAAGAAAAGAAAAAAAATTATAAAATTCCCCGAGATTTTACTGAAAGCGAGATAAATCAACGTCATCGTTATACTTCTTACTTTCACGTACGTCCGACCAAGTCATCGCAATTTTCTCAATGGACATAGACAAAAGTGTTTGTTGTTGCTGAAATAATAATTTTCGACGATACAACGAATCTATATAGGACCGAATTTGGATTCGAGTGATTAAGTATGAAGTACGAGTGAAATTCGATATTCATGTGTGCCCTATGATCTTCTAATGAAAAATGCAAGAAAAATAAGAGAGAAAAAGAAAAAAAAAAAAAAAAAAAAACAAGAAAGAGACAAAGAAAAAAGAACATTGCACTATTCTACAACGTTGAGCAATATTTTATTCTATTAACGATCAAATTTTTACTAACACTAATAATAATCCTATGATAAGACATATATATATATATATTTATATATGATTTATTTAATTATTATTTATTAATTTTAAAATAATAATTCGAGTTCTTATAGCGCAATAAAATTATTTTATCTTACCTATATGAATATCTTATTGTTATTATAGAATCATTATCATTTCGCCTATCGTTCAGATTAATTTTTATATGACATAACCATAGAGAAATAACGAATTATTAATT